CTTTTTATTTTTTCTTCTTCTTCGTTTCTATCCTTCCTTGCTCTGCTTCTTCTTTTCTTGTTTTTTTTTATTTTCTTTTTTTTCTTGTGCTTCTTCTTTTGCTGCTTCTTATTGCTTTTCTTTTCGTTTGTTTTCCTATTTCTATTATTCTTTTTTTATTCTTCTCTTCTTTGTCTGCCTTTCTTTTCTCATTCTCATTCACCCCCTTCTTGTTCCTTCGTTTCTGCTTCTTATTCTTCTTCTTTGCCTTCCTCTTCTGTTCCACCTTAATTTCTATTATCCCCTCCCTCTTCTTTTTTTTCTCTTTTTCGTCTTTTCTTAATCGCGTTAAATTCAATTTTTTTCTTTTTCTGATCTCGGTTTTTATTCCTCACTCCTTCTGTTCTTCTCCGACTTTATTTTTTTTTTGCTCACATTTTCTGTCTTGTTGTTCTTTTTTTTTTTCGTTTTTTAGTTTCATTTTTCTCTTTAAGTATTTTTCGTATCTTCTGCTTTTTTATTCTTGTTCTTCTTTTGATTCCTCCTCTTTATTCTCTTTTTTACTTTTTTATTCTTGTTCGTTCTCGTTTTTTATCTTTATTTTGCGCCTATATATCTCTTTTACTTGTCTTTCTTCCTTCTGCTCCTATTTTTGTTATTTTTCTTTTTCTTGTTTTTCTCCCTCTTTTATTCGCGCCGGTTCTTCCTTTTTATTTTCTTTATTATTTTCTCACCTCTGTTTTCGGCTCATTTTTCTCGCTTTTGTCTTTCTGCCATCTGCTCTTTTTCCCAGTTTTCTACTCTTCTTTCATTCTTGTTTTTCTGCTTTTTCATTCTTTTTCATTAAACCTCTTTTTTGTTCTTACTGTTTTTTCTGTTCTTGTTCTTTTTTTCCTGTTCTTTGTTTTCTCTTTCTTTCTATATTTGTTGATCATCATCATCATCATCATCATCATCATCATCATCTTCCTCTTCTACCCATTCTCCTCTTTTTTTCTTTCTTTTTTACTGTTCTCTTTTACTGTTCTCTTTTACTGTTCTCTCTTGATTCTAATACTGTTTCTCTGCTTGGTGTTCTCATTGCTCTTTTTCTTCTTTCTCTTCATTTTTCGTTCTTCTCGTTATAGTTATCTTCTTTGCTCTTGTTTCTGTCCTCGTTCTTTTCGTTGTTCTTTTTTATCTCTTTTTTGTTCCTGATCCTTTTCTCTTCTTTCTTACTTTCTGGTCCTTTATCTTATTCTTATTTTTCTTCCTCATTCCTCTCTTTCTTGTTGCCGTTACTCCTTTTTTCTTTTTCTGTTTTCTTCTATATCTTTTGGTTTTTTTGTTTTTGTTTACTTCGTTTTCATTCCACTTCTTCATCTTTTGTCTATTCTTTTTTCTTCTCTTTCTTCACCTTTCTCTTTTTTTATTTTCTGTTTTTTTTGATACTTTTTCTTTTGTTTTTTTTGCTTTTGTTCTTTTTTCTCTTTTATTGCAGTCCTTCCTTCTTCTTTCTCGCCTTCTTGTTTTTCTTTTCTTCTTCTTTCTACTTTTATTCCCTTTACTTTTTTAAAAATCTTCTCTTCTCTTTCTTCTTGTTTTCTTCGTGTTCTAGTTCTTCTTGTTATTTTTTTCTTGCTTTTTATTTCTTTTCTTGCTCTTATTCTTCTTGTCATTATCGCTTTTATGGTTATTGTTCCGTCTTTTGCCTCCGTTGGTGTTTACATCCAAATTTTTTTTTTTCTAGAATTTATTGCAATATCATCGAAAAACTGTTTTTTGGTTTGTTGTCACTTTGTTTTTTAGTGGCATGGGATCTTTGAATGTTCTGTATATTCGTCATTTTAGGCAATATTTGTTTTGTTATTGCCTTTTTATGGCGAAGATGAGAGGGGGGAATAAGGGAGTGAAAGGAAGACTTCAGTTTGGAAATAAAGTTTCAATGAACCTAGTGATGGTAACAGAAAACAAAGGGAAATCGATAGAAGGAGAATTTGGTATTTTTCAAAAAAAGGTATTGTAAGATTTATTAGTAGATATAAATCTTTTGAATTTGACGAAACTGTTGGGATAGCAAATTTCCTTCTTTTGCTTTTGCTTCGAGACTAAACTTTCTTGTCTGGAAATGATGAAAATGACAACTGTTTTTATAATCGTCGTCGTCGTTATCGATACCATTTGGAAATTTTATTTTTTTTTTTAAGTTTTTCGTATATTATTTTAGGGTATGTTTTCATTTTGCTACTTCCTTTTTTTTTTCTTTTTCGCTGGTAAGGGACAAGTGTTTCCTGCAAGCTTTATGCATTATAGTAGTTTTGTTGTTGCTGATGTTATTATTTTTTTTCTTCTTCTCAATTTCGAATATTAGTGACAAGTTTTTTTGTGTTTTGATACCAGTAATAAACTCGTGGGTGGTTCTTCGGCTTCTTTTACGTATAAATTTTTTATTTTAGTTTTGCATTATCACTCTCGAAAGTATTTCTGTTTTCCCCAGTTTTAGTCTCAATCTTGGTTGAAATGTTGTGCCGTTTTTAGGAAATTTTACAGGTGTTAGTGACAGAGGACCATTTTAATTTTTTGCTGTAGCTGTAAAACTAACGGTTTAGGAGGGAGGTGGAATACTGTATCTGTTTCGCTTTTTTGCTTGATTATTTGTTACTATTATGGTG